AGGGGGGTGAGTGGAGGAGAGCTGAACCAAACTCATAGCCAATGAGTCTATTCAGCGTATACAGATCCTATAACGAAGGAAGTATACTGATCCTATAAGGCAGAGTAGAAGGGTTCCTCTTGGGTTTCTGAGAATTTGAATCGTTGTGAGACAGCCTCATCTTTCTCCAATGGAGCGGCTGGTGGGTTCGCACTGCTGAGCTTGCTGTTAGCAGCTCAGGGCATAGTCCACGACGTCATCAGGGCGCTTAGGCCAAATGGAGGCAACAGAATGAAAATCAGTAAATCTAAGCAGGATGAGAAAATCCAGTGGAAATGAGAACATGATGGGACGAATGACACCCAGGACAGCAAAGCTCACCCCAGATTACACCTGCAGGTGATTTAGCACCTACCAATTTTCTGCCAGCTAGATTTTGAAGGTCCAAAGCTGACACACGATAGGGCAATGCCAGCACTAGCAATAGGCCTGTCTTCAAATTCTCCCTTTCTCCTAAGTTCAATCACCGTCTGCATGTGGCATACACCAGCTTCCACTTCTTCACCCTGGAATGTTGTTCCCAAGTTCCATCTCTCTTGCTCCACAGTTTTATTAAGATATAAACGCATGTGTCATGCAATTCAATGATTTAACCCAATGCCAGCTCCATAGCTTCCCAAGATGTCTTTCACAGGGGGTCTCACTGGCAACACGAATAAGCTACAGGGAAACCTGTGAGAACTGGGACTTAACCAGACAGTTTAGTTACAAGTGCAAATCCTACCTGGCCCTGATCAAACCCTGACCTTGAGCAGGGCACCTCAGATTCCCTCCCTCCAGAAAGAGGTGGGCAGGGAGAGGAAGCTAACCATTGATAGTTCTACCGCAGAACATGTTTGTTGAAGCAAAGCAATTCCAGGACAGGGGAAAAAGAACAGGGGAACTTGCCAATATTTTTTCTATCACAATTTGCAGCTGCAGTCTTTCCTCGGGAATGTGTGATTGTTGGTATCCCCAAGCCCATCTTTTGAAAGCCCTTTCTATCCATTCTGGGACCTGGGGCCAGGGCCTGCTGTCTCCAGCCAACCACCTCACTAGGGCCTGCTGTCTCCAACCAACCACCTCACTAGGGCCTGCTGTCTCCAACCAACCACCTCACTAGGGCCTGCTGTCTCCAGCCAACCACCTCACTAGGGCCTGCTGTCTCCAGCCAACCACCTCACTAGCCCTGCCATCCACTCTCTCCGTAGAGCTATTAAAATACTCTACTTCCTCTTCTTCTTTACTGAAACTACAACCTGCTCTCTGTCCTCCCTCCTTTCTTTTGACTTACAAGTCATCCTTAGCCCATTTGCATATATAAATTAATCCAGCTCTCTTTATCTAGCTATTCAATGGCAAGCACTTTGGGAGCTTCTGTAGGGAGAAAAAAAAAGAAGACATAAGTAAGACCCAGGGCCTACTCTCAGGAATCCTTAGCTCACACCCAAGTAAGGTAGAATAAGCACCCTGAATTCTTTAGGGCATAGTTTCTCAAACTTATTTGGCCTACCACCCCCTTTTCAGGAAAACAAACAAACAAACATCACTCAGCAACCCCCTGGCAATGAAAAACTTTGATACTATAGCCAGAATCCAGGATAAAATGTAGGTATCTGTTTTTGCAGCACCACCTGACTCTACCCCATCATTCCAGCACCCCCTAAGAGCGGTATCACCCACACTTTGGGAAACACTATTTTAGGATTTCAAAGGAAGGAGTGCCCACATGGGGCTGGGGGGCCAGGAGTGGCTTTGCAGGAAAAACAACTGTTGAGTTGTACCTTGTGAAAGTGAGAAGGATTTTGTCTGACAGGCAGAGCCAAGAGCCAAGAGTAATAAAGGGGAGGACTTTCAAGCACCAGGAGGAAGAAAATCTCAAGGTATAATAGCAAACCGCACAGTCTTGTTTAGCCAAAGTGAGAGATCTGTCTTTTTGGTCCAACCCTCATATTTGGCCCCTGGACTAACTCATGTGTTACATATAAGCAGTTGACATCGAGATATCAATGACCTGCATCTGTACTAGGGGAGCTTCAAAGATTGCAGAACAAAACATCCATGATCTTGTCATTTTTCCAGGAACTTTTTGAAGCCCCCTCATTGTGGTAGAGAACTGTCAAATGCCAACCTAATCAGATAATTTGAGCAAGAGGTTAGGAAAGCTCATTTGGGCTAGCACTGGCCCGGGTAGAGGTTAGTTCCGGGCACTGTGACTCTACAGTGTCCTCCAACACAGCTCCAGTGTATTAAGCAGTGACCTTCAGAGAAGAGTGCCCTTGCCCCATGTGAAACAGCCCGGCCACAGAGCTGACAGTGGACATTCCTGGCCATGGTGGTGGCAACACAGCAACCGGGGAAAATATTTGTGCGGATGATGCCAAGAGAGTGCTGTGGCTGCCAGTTTTTTCTTTCAGAAAATCATTTGCCCGGGGTGGGGGGGGGGGGGGGCAAAGGGGGACAGACGATCCAGGAACCAAAGCAAAAAGTCAGGCTCAGGCCCAGACCCAGGGTCAGAGCCAGAGCAAGGGTAGCGGAGCGGATGGTACTCCAGAAAAAGGAAGCCTGTGGATATTGGCCGGGATTGTGAAATCAGGTCAAAAATGAGGCGGGTCAAGGGACGGAGGCTGAGAACTCGGACACAGCAATGGCACCAGAGGCAACAGCAGCTAAAACAATAGTCAGCCCCTTTTCTCTGATTTCTCTTTAAACTGCTGACCAAGCCGCCAGGCAAATGCCAAGTGTTAGAGGATGGGGGTTCCTGCATGTTCCATGGGGTGGGGGGGGACAGGGTTTTCCTGAGTTCCCCCTTGGCAAAGAGCCCTGGTTTCTTCTATCTGTTATTGCATACAAGGAGCCCTGGTGGCCGCCTCCCAACAACTCTCGTCCCTTAGGAGGTGAACCGGCGATTCTGGTCCTCGCCATGGCCTCCGCTGGGATGCAGATCCTGGGCATCATCCTGACCATCCTCGGCTGGGTGAATGCCTTGGTGTCATGTGCCCGGCCCACGTGGAAGGTGACCGCCTTTATAGGCAGCACCATCATGGTGGCCCAGGTGATGTGGGAGGGGCTGTGGATGTCCTGTGTGGTGCAGAGTACAGGCCAGATGCAGTGCAAGGTCTACGACTCCCTGCTGGCCCTGCCCCAGGACCTGCAGGCGGCCCGCACCCTCAGTGTGGTCTCCCTGCTGGTGGCACTGATTGGCCTGCTGGTCTATATGGCCGGGGCCAAGTGCACTACCTGCGTGGAGGACAAGGACTTCAAGGCTCGCCTGGTGCTCACTTCTGGGATCATCTTTGTTGTCTCAGGAATTCTGATCCTCATCCCCATTAGCTGGACAGCCAACACCATCATCCAAAACTTCTACAATCCCCTGGTGGCCGAGGCCCAGAAGCGGGAGCTGGGGGCCTCGCTCTACCTGGGCTGGGCTGCCTCTGGTCTTTTGTTGTTGGGGGGTGGGCTCCTGTGCTGCACATGCCCCTCAAGGGGGTCCTGGGGCACCAACCATTACATGGCCCGCTATACAGCATCTCTTCCATAAGGTACATCCTGGGTGCCCTCCGAATACCCCCACCAAGAATTATGTCTGATGGGGAAATGGGGTGGCTCTCTCTCTTCCCTCCTCCTCCTGTCCCTCCCCACTCCCTAGCTGCAGCCAAATGATGGGCAGTGGTACTTGGCAGCGTTGGTCTTTTTGCTCTTCTTGCGTCTTGGGGGGCCTTTCTTGGCATCTACTTGGATAACAGAATCAGAAGATGCCCCACCCATCCTGGCCTCTGTTGCTGGTGGTCCTTTCTCACCCTGACATGACTTGGCTGCACCCACAGCGCTGGAGCTGGGGCTCCGTGTGAAAGACTGATCTCCGGCACCAGGATGGTGTGCCCCCAAGAGGAGCTCCTGTCACTGTCACCTCCATTACCCCTGCTGGCACCACCACCACCTACTGAGAAAGAGGACTCTTGGACTGAGCAGGGATACCCCTTCCTAGATGCCCTTGGGGGGAGCCTCCCGATTGAACTTCTAGAAGAACCACAAAGTACCAAAGAGACTCCACCTCCAAGTCTTGTGACCTGGAGCTATGGCTCCATCCCCCTCCTGCCACCAGCTGTCCTGTAGACCACACCTACCCTCCGGGGCCCTGGGCTCACCTTTTTACTAAAATAAAGTGTCTTGCTAACATGCCTTCAGTGTTGCTTGGGTGTGGCGTGGAGAACTTCACTGCTTCTTTTTCTGATGGCCCTCCGAAGGCTGGGCCTGGCCCAGACCCCTCAGAGGCCAGGCTGGCGTGAAACAGGCCATGGGCCCCAGGGGAGGCCACTTGGCTGTCCCTGCCCAGAGGTTAGTACACAGATCAGAGGAGCCTACCAGTACAAACACTCTTTATTCCCAACTGAAAGGTGGGGGTGGAGGAGGATGGACTATGCAGGACTTTCCAATCCCAGAGGGTCCCCAACCTGGGCCTCATGGATGCTGTGATAGCCAGACTAAGGGCCCAACAATGCAGGGTAGGAAGATCATTGGAACTTCTCCAGGTGTCTAGGGTGGGAGGAAGGGGAGCCAGGAGTTTAGAAAGAGGAAGGGTCAATCCATCCTGGACAGCAGAGGAAAGGAACGAATATGGGGAGCTACGAGCAAGCCAAGGTCACCCCATCAGCTCTGGCCCAACCCCTGGGGACAGCCCAGCCAGGTGAGGATATCACTGAGGAGGCTCTGACTCAACCAGTCTTCTCGAAAGTGGAGCCACTAGTGTCCTTGTCAGGTGAGCGTGGAGCAAGGTGTCCTGGGTGGGCTGGAAGGTGAGGGCCCAAAGGCATCCGGGTTGGCGGTTCCGCAGTCTCACACATAGTCCCTCTTGTCCAGTCCTGACGCTCC